GTTTTCAGCAACCATGGTGGACGGTACGAAGCTTCCTATCCACGGCGAAGCATCACTGCAACTGCATATAGGTGCGTTGAGGTGGAAGCCGAAGCTACCAGTCACCAACATCAAAGGATTAGATTTTATCTTGGGGCGAGATTTCCTGAAGCGGTTCAACCCCGAGATCGATTGGGTCAACAGCAAGGTGTGCATCTACAACAATGGGAAGCGGATAGCACTGCGAAGGTGGACGGATACAGGGGACGTACCTGAAACGACACTGGCACGGTTCGAACAGACGGTGAACGAGAGTAACACGGGTTACCTAGCACTGGTTATGGCAGCAGCAGAGGAGGAGAAGCCGAGTTCCGAGCTACCTGCAGCAGTGAAGGAGGTCTTGGAGCAGTACAAGGATATAATGCCCGGCGACCTACCTGCGAGCGTACCTCCAGCACGCACCCACGAGCACAAGATCGTGGAGGAACCAGGTGCGAAACCCGTCTCACGTGCACCATACCGACTGAGTCCGACTGAACTGACAGGCATGAAAAAACAGATAGAGTATCTACTGGACAGACAACTGATCCGCCCATCCACCTCTCCCTACGGCGCACCAGTTCTCTTCACTCCAAAACCAGACGGCAGTCTACGGATGTGCATCGACTACCGCGCACTGAACAAACAGACAGTCAAAAACAAATATCCCATACCGCGCATAGACGACCTACTCGATCAACTGCGTGGAGCAACAGTATTTTCGAAACTGGACCTACGAACGGGCTACTGGCAGATCAAGATGGCAGACAACTCCGTCCACAAGATAGTGTTCCGTACCAGATACGGCTCCTACGAATACTTGGTGATGCCGTTCGGACTCTGCAACGCACCAGCAACGTTTCAGGCGGAGATGAATCACATCTTACGACCCCTACTGGACGAGTGCGTGGTGGTGTACTTGGACGACATTCTCATCTACTCCAAGAACATGAAGGAGCACGTGGAGCATCTGCGGAAGGTGTTCGAGATCCTACGGAAAAACAAGTTCTACGTGAAGCTGTCAAAGAGCGACTTCGCCCTGAAGAAGGTGCAGTTTCTCGGGCACATGGTGAGTGCCGAGGGCGTACACGTGGACCCACGGAAGATCGAAGCCGTCAAGAAGTGGAAAGTACCAGAGAACGTGAAGGAGTTACAGCAGTTCCTAGGCTTCGCCAACTACTACAACAGGTTCGTGCCGCAGTACGCTAAGATAGCAGCGCCACTGACCGACCTACTGAAAAAGGATACGCCCTACAAATGGGATACCCCTCATCAGCAAGCCATGGAGCAGCTACAGACAGCACTAACTACAGCGCCAGTACTCATCTTGCCGGATCCAGACAAGGACTACGTGGTGGAAGCAGACGCTAGTGACCAAGCAATCGGAGCAGTACTGATGCAGGATCACGGACGCGGTTTGCAGCCCATCGCCTACCTCAGTAAGAAGCTACACGGAGCAGAACTAAACTACCCCATTCACGACAAGGAAGCCTTAGCGATAGTCATAGCCTTCAAGGCGTGGAGGTGTTACCTAGAGGGAGCCAAGACTACAGTCTATACTGACCACTGCAGTCTCAAATACCTGAAGTCGCAGCCGACACTCTCACGACGACAGGTGCGGTGGGTGGACTTCCTGGAAACTCACTTCCACTACGACATCGTCTACAAGCCCGGGCTACACAACAAGGCAGACGCGTTGAGCCGCCCCGGACATGTAGCAGGCATCCAGCTCGACGGGATGAACCCTCTGCTCAAGGGTCTATTCCAACATCGGTACTCCGTGGACGCAGAGATTGCTACAGCATAGACCAAGAAGCTATTACAGTGGGAGAAAGACTTAGCTGTAAGGAAGGGTTCAGGAAAGATTTGGGTACCGAATTACGCCCCGCTACGGCATATCCTATTGGAGGAGTTTCACGACGTACCTTACGCGGGACATTTCGGGAGCAACAAGACGTTAGCAGGGATAGCGAAGTATTACTACTGGCCCGGGATGGCAGCAGACGTGCAGCAGTTTGTCACCTCTTGCGACACGTGCCAGCGGATGAAGAGCAGCAAGCAGAAAAAAGCAGGGTTACTTCAGCCTCTACCCGTACCGGAGCAGCCATGGCAGGTCGTTAGCCTCGACTTCATCACAGGGCTTCCTTCGACCTCACGGGGACATGATTCCATCCTCGTGGTGATCGATAAGTTCTCCAAAATGGGTCACTTCATACCGACCAACGCCACAGCTACAGCTGAAGCAACTGCTCGACTCTTCTTCGACCGCATCATCACCATCCACGGCATCCCCGCTACACTCATCTCAGACAGAGACCCCAAATTCACGAGTAAGTTCTGGAAGGAGCTCATGGGACTGTTGGGGACAAAGCTTGCAATGTCTTCAGCATACCACCCCCAGACTGACGGACAGACAGAGCGACTCAATCAAGTGGTTGAACAGTTACTGCGCACAGCTTGCAAGGACGACGTCAGCCACTGGGACACACAGTTACCGACCCTAGAGTTTGCTTACAACAACGCATCACATGCGGCCACAGGGAAAACTCCTTTCTTCCTGTGTTACGGACGGGAACCACTCACACCACAGCAGCCAACTACACCGGCACACGTCCAAGCCGCACATGACTTCGTCACCACCATGCAGCAGCTATGGGAGAAGACTCAGCGACGTCTCACCACGATGCAGAACTCCCAGAAGCAGTATGCCGATCGTCAGCGACGTGATCACTCAGTAGCAGTCGGAGATTAGGTGCTTCTTGACATGCGCAACTTGAACCTGTCTCACCTCCCATCCAAACTCCGGCCTCGCTTCTGTGGTCCTTTTCTCGTCGAGGCACAGGTGACACCAGTTACATTCCGCTTGCGCTTACCAGATACATGGAAGCTTCACAACACTTTCCATGTCCAGCTACTGAAGCCCTACAAGGACCCCAACCAACAGTTCCAGGGACGGCAACTACCGCCACCACCACCTGTTCTCATACAGGATGAACCCGAGTACGAGATCGAGCGCGTTCTCTCTCATCGGCGCCGCGGTGGCAAGACCCTCGAGTTCCTGATACGCTGGAAGGGATACGACCCCACTGAGGACAGTTGGGTTGCAGAAGGTGATATGGGCAACGCACGCCGTGCTCTCAAGGACTATCTTGTCAAGCAGGGTGTATCTCACGCCACCCAGCTTTGAGGGGGGGACGTGTGAGAGTACGACGGCTTATGCCAGCTATGCTTGCTTGCCTTTACTTTATCATGCTTTTTCTAGCATAGGATAATTATATGCATGCATGAATTGTTTGATTTCCTAGGCTAGGTGCTTTCCTATATTTTATTATAGTTATAGCACCGAGCTAGGTTGCGTGCACCGAATTCTGGCTTTTCGGTTGCCACCGAATTGACTTCTACCGAATTTCGTAAGGATCCGTTCGGGACGCTACGCGGCCCGCGGAACCTTCGCGTAACACCTGGTTACGGGGCCTTGTGTCGAGCCTATATATAGCCTCGTGTTGTACCCAGGTGAGGACATTCAATTCAATTCAATTTGAATCATCTTTCTGAGCTCGATCCTAGATCCTCACAGACAGGCTCGATTGCGTCTACCTGGGACACACCCGACGGGGCAGGACCCTGAGGGGGAAGGGGGTCAACCTAGGGAGGACCCGGCGCAAGGAAGAGCGGCGGCGGGGGGGGGGGGGATGCAGTGCAGTAGGGGAAGAGACAGTAGTAAGGCACCGACTCGTCAAAGGTAACAACCTGGGAGGACAGAACACGGTGCGAGATGGGGTGGTAAAACTGCCACCTAGGCCCGTCAGGGGGGAAGCCAAGGAAGACGCAAGGAACAGCACGGGGGGACAGCTTGTCCGCTGACAAGTCGCGGACAAAGGCCCGAGATCCCCAGACCCGAAACGCAGACGCATCGCCAACCTTCCCTGTCCACCGCAAGGCGGGGGAGGTCTCTGGCAAGGAGACCCGGGGCTGAAGGTTGAGCTGATGCGCTGCGCACTGAACCGCAAACGGCCACAGAAAATGGGGGGCAGCCGCATGCATCATGGACGTACGAGCGACGTCCATGACCATGCCAATGCGGCGCTCAGCAATCCCATGTTGCTGTGGAGAGGCCGGAAGCGTGAAGGTCTGGCGGATACCCTGTGCACGTCAGAAGGCTCCCAGACGGGCAGAGGAAAACTCCCCGCCTTTGTCCGAGTGCAGATGCAGAACAGGAAAGTCTGAGCCGAAACTCTCTCTGAGCTGGAGACGAGCTGCGCGGATCCAGTCGATCAACACCTCAGTGACGTCACCCTTGCTGCGCAAGGGGAAGACTGTGGTATAACGCGAGTAGTATAACGCGAGTAGTCGTCATCGACCAGCAGAAAGTACCGCTCTCTCCCCTGCCCACTGACGCAGGCTGGGCCCCACACGTCCATGTGGAGAGTCTGCAGGGGAGCCTCTGTCGGAGGAAACTCGGAGGAGTGAGGGGCGGCGCGCTGTCGCCCCTCGACGCAGGGGACGCAGGTAGGGCCAGGCCCCGGAGGAAGGGGAGGGAGAGACCGAGGGAGACCGGAGACAAGGACACGGGAGGCCATGCCTTGGAGACGAGGCAAGGAGGGGTGACCAAGGCGGTGTTTCCAAAAGAGTCTGGTGGGACAGCAGACGACACGAGCAGGGGGGAGACTCAGGACCAGACCTGGACACCGCAGCAAACACCTGACTCGACGCAACTACCTGGGCAGACTCAGCAGTAGGAGGAGACTCAGTAGTAAGGGTGTACAGGCTCGACCCTGGCCGAGGGTGAACGTGGCCAAGTGTCGGCCTGTCCGAGCACACTGTCAAAACCTATATTTGTAACTGCCTGTAGCTGTAGTTAGTGTAGTTATTTAAATCTGTAGGTGGTGCACCTCTTCACTTGTTTCCTTTGCTATATATACTTCGAAACTATAGTGAAGCATCACTCCTTCCCAACTTCTCTTCCAACTCACTCGATCTCTTCACCCTAGGCCCAAACTCACTCGACACCTAATCTCGGGCCTGGGCTCCTAAGCCTAGGCCCTAGTTTTCAACTTAACTCTACATTCGTTCTTATGTTTCGACCCTGGCCGAGGGTAAACGTGGCCAAGTGTCGGCCTGTCCGAGCACACGTGCAGTGGGTCACTCGCTGACTCGCAGGAGTGAACTGGTCAACCTCTCGATCTTGTAGGTCCGCTCCAATCACTAAGTTCGTAGAGAACGAGGGGAGGTAGAGACCAGTCAGGGTGCCAGAGGGGGCTGCCGGGCACGGAAGGACAGTGGAGAAGCTAGCAAGGACAGGACCCCCAGAGGGGTCTGCCAGGGAGACTGCAACCGGCTGACTGAGCGGCGTAAGAGTGGTGCGGTCTCGAAAGAAGGAGGGGGACGCACCCGAGTCTAGAGTGAAGGTGTGGAAGGCCTGAGCCGACGTAGTACCTGAGAGAGCAGACTCACCAGCACCTGGGGCGGCAGACGCACTGGCACCTGGGGCAGCAAACGCACTAGTACCTAGAGCAGCAGCCTCACCAGCACCTAGAGCAGCAGCCTCAATGCCCGGGTCAAGCGGAACACACAGGTAACAGTCACCAGCAACACTAGTATCAACAGGATACATGGCAACAAGGATAGCATCAAAGTCAAGATCAAAGATAGCAACCCCGGCCTTAGCCAGATCTCCCCAGCGAGGGATCTCTGACGCCTCAGGGAACTGGCGACGCCACGCGTCCATCAGGCGACCAAAGCAGCGCTGGGTGGAGTGCGGGCCTCCGCACTGCTCACCAGCGCGGTCGCTGTCAGAACATTATAGCTTATGCTTTTGTGTAGGCTGTAGTGGGGTATCCCATAGGGGGTACAACCCAATTAGGGTTAGTACTTGTACCCACTTCATTCATAGTTCATCCATTCTCGTTCAATTTCACATGGTATAGAGCAGGTTCCCCTGTGGGAACTGTTCCTAGGGCCCACCGTTTCGTTTCTTGCCCGGAGCGCGCTCAGCCTATGCCCGAGTCACGCTCCCCCTCTCACGACCCCGTCGCGCCGCCCTTACGACCCCGTCGCGCCGCCTTCGCGGCCCCGTCGCGTCGCGCCTCCCTAGCGGCCCCGTCAAGTCGCCTTTGCGACCCCGTCGCGCCGCCCTCGCGGCCCCATCACGTCGCGCCGCCCTCGCGGCCTCGTCGCGCCGCCCACGCGGCCCCGTTCCGCCGCCCTCGAGGCCCCGTCGCGTCGCGCCGCCCTTGCGGCCCTTTCGCGCCGCCCTCGCGGCCTCTTCGAGCCGCCCTAGCGACCCTTCCAAGCTGCCCTCGCGGCCCCGTCGCCTAACTCTGCGGGCCCCGTCGCCTACCCTACTGGCCCCGCCGCATACCTGCGGCCCCGCCACCTATCAGCGGCCCCGCCACCCATCTCCGGCCCCGCCGCCTACCTTCGGCCTCCCCGTCTACCTGCGGCCTCGCCGCATACCTGTGGCCCTGCCGCCTACCTTCGGCCTCGCCGCCTACCTGTGGCCCCGCCGCCTACCGTCGACCCATTCGTCGCCCTGCGGCCCCCCCTCTCCCCGCACACCTGAGTTTGCTTACCGCACACCCGAGTTCGCTTCACACACACTTGTGTACGATTCACGCACACCCGAGTTCGCTTACCGCACACTCAGGGTATGGGGGTGACGGGTATGGGGGTGGCGGGTGTGTGAGCCGTCCCCTGCACACCTACCCTGCGGCCCCGGCGCCACCTCTGCTGGCCCCGTCGCCGCTCCACCTGGCCCCGCCGCCGTCCCCAAGCAGCCCCGCCGTCACCACCGAGCCGCCCGAGCCGCAGCGCCACCTGAGCCGCCCGAGCCGCCGGGTCGTCGAGCCGCCGAGCTGCAGTTGCTGCCGAGCCGCCCGAGCCACCCGAGCCACCGAGTCGCCGAGCCGCAGTTGCCGCCGAGCCGCCCGAGTTGCCCGAGCCGCCGAGCCGCAGTTGCTGCCGAGCCGCCGTGCCGCCAAGCCGCCCGAGCCGCCCGCACCGCAGAGTCGCCGAGCCTGCTCTTCCCACCACTGGTGAGCCCCTGCCCTACTAGTGCGCTGCCCGTCGCCTGCTTGCCTGCCTGCCTGCCTTTCGGCCTGCCTGGCTGCTCGCCTTACTGCTGCTACTCCTACTCCTACTTCTACTGGCGGAGCCAGATGCAGCCCCAGCGACGTCCGCGTGAGTCCCTCACGCCCCAGCAGCTGCGTGAGTGGTACGCTGGTTGGGGTTGTAGGGGTGGCGGCGCTGCTACTGCCACCACTACTGCTGCTACTACTACTGGCGGCGGCCAGATGCAGCTCCAGCGACGCCCACGCGCGTCTCTCACGCCCCAGCAGCTTTGTGAGTGGTACGCTCAGAGTAGAGGGTCTCTCAGTTCTGTTCGCTGCTCTTACGTGATTCGCACTGGTGCTCGGACTGGTCAGCCTTGTGGGACACCTAGTCACACACCGTCCCGCTGCTTCGCCCGTATGAGCGACGCCTGGCGTACCGAGTTTGGCGACGAGGCTGAGCTCCCCGACTGGGTGGAGTTGCTTAGGCAGAGGGTAGATATATTTGCTCTTGACTATGATGCTATTCTCACTGCCATGTATGCATTGCCTACTAGTGCTAGTGAGGCTACTGCTCTGGGTGCTAGTGAGTCTCCTACACCAGGTACAGGTGCGGCTGCTGCTCTAGGTGCTAGTGAGTCTGCTTCCTCAGGTGCGGGTGAGTCTGCTCTCTCAGGTACCGCGTCGGCTCCAGCCTCTCACACCTTCACTCTTGACTCGGGGGCTTCCCGCTCCTTCTTTCGAGACCGCACCACACTCACGCCGCTTGGTCGGCCTGTTGCAGTCTCTCTGGCAGACCCCTCTAGGGGTCCTGTCCTTGCTCACTTCTCCACTGTCCTCCCGTGTCCGGCGGCCCCTTCTGGCACCCTGTCTGGTGTTTACCTCCCCTCGTTCTCTACGAACTTGGTGAGTGGTGCTGACCTACAGGATGCGGGGGTTCACCAGTTCACTCCCGCGGGTCAGCGGGTGACCCACTGCACAGACGCTCGAACAGGCCGACACCTGGCCACGTTTACACGTCGGCCGGGGTCGAGCCTGTACACGCTGACCACTGCGTCTCCTCCAGTCACTGCGTCTGGTCAGGTAGCTGCGTCGGGTCAGGTGTTTGCTGCAGCGTCCAGGTCCGGTCCTGAGTCTGCCCCCTGCTCGTGTTGTCTCCTGTCTCACGAGACTCTCCTGTGGCACCACCGCCTTGGTCACCCCTCCCTGCTTCGTCTCCAAAGCATGGCCTCCTGTGTCCTTGTCTCTGGTCTTCCCCGGTCCCTCCCTCCCCTTCCTCCGGGGCCTGGCCCTACCTGCGTCCCCTGTGTCGAGGGGCGGCATCGGGCTGCCCCTCACTCCTCTCAGTTTCCTCCGACAGAGGCCCCGCTGCAGACGCTTCACATGGACGTGTGGGGCCCGGCCCGCGTCCGTGGACAGGGTCACGAGCGCTACTTCCTGCTGGTGGTTGACGACTACTCGCGTTACACCACAGTCTTCCCCTTGCGCAGCAAGGGTGATGTCTGAGGTGTTGATCGACTGGATATGCGCAGCTCGTCTCCAGCTCAGGCAGAGCTTGGGCTCGGACTTTCCTGTTTTGCGTCTGCACTCGGACAGAGGCGGAGAGTTCTCTTTTGGCCTTCTGCGAGCCTACTGTCGTGCACGAGGCATCCGCCAGACCTTCACGCTTCCGGACTCTCCACAAAAAAATGGGATTGCTGAGCGCCGCATTGGCATGGTCACGGACGTCGCTCGTACGTCCATGATGCATGCAGCTGCCCCCCTTTTTCTGTGGCCGTTTGCGGTCTGGTACGCGGCGCATCAGATCAACCTTCACCCCAGGGTCTCCATGCCGGAGACCTCCCCAGCTTTGCTGTGGACGGGGAAGGTTGGCGATGCATCTGCGTTCCGTGTCTGGGGATCTCGGGCGTTTGTCCGCGACTTGTCTGGGGGTGCTGACTCTGGGGGTGCTGAGCGTGTGGGTGCTACGCCTGGGGGTGCTGAGCCTGGGAGTGCTGAGCCTGGGGGTGCTGAGCCTGTGGGTGCTACGCCTGGAGGTTCTGGGCCTGGAGGTGCTGAGCCTGAGGGAGCTGGGCCTGCTTGTGTGGCGTTTGGCGGTGCTGTGCTTGGCGGTTCTCCGGGTGCTTCGTCTCGCCGGGAGCCACTCTCTCCACAGGAGCTGCGTGAGTGGTTTCCCCGGCGCTGGAGGCGAGCTGCTGGAGCTGGAGGTACTGCGGGTACTGGAGGTTCTGCTGCTGCTGAGGGTGCTGGTGCCGCGGGTCCCGGAGGTGCTCGTACTGGGAGTACTGGAGCTGTTGGGCCTGCGGGTACTTCTGGAGTTGGAGCTACTGCGGGTGTTGGCGCGGAGGCTACTACTGTCGGTCCTGGAGGCGATCCTGCTGAGGGTGCTACTGGTGCTGCTGGAGGTACTGGAGCTGGAGGTGCTGCTGGTGCTGGTGCTGCCACTGGGGGTACTGGTGCTGTCCCTGCTGTGTCTAGAGTCGCCGCGCGGCCTCGGCCGTACTACGTTCCGCTCCTTCAGCAGGTTCTTGGTCTCCCGCCTTCTACTGGTCCTCCTCCTTTCTTAGAGTGTCAACAGCCTGTCCAGTCACAGTTACAGTTACAGCCGGCCTCCCCACTGCCTGCTCCGTCCCCCTACACTGGTTCTACTGGAGGTCTTGCTGAGCGTCGTGAGCCTGCGTCTCGCCCTGCGTCGCCTGTCCGTGCTGCTCGCACTAGTGGTCGCGGTTCGCGTCAGCGTCCTCCTCCTGTCCCTGGTACGCACCGGATGTCTCTGCGTCCGTCCACTGCTCCTCTGTGTGCCCCTTTACCTTCTCCTCCTGAGTCTTCTCTTCCTGCTCTTGCCAACCCGGAGTTGGACTCTCGTCGTGCTGCGAGTCCTACTGTCACGCGTCTCCTTGCTACTGTTGTCAACGACCCTTCCTTTGAGTCCACTGCTGCGTCTGCCCTAGTTGCTCAGCTCGTCGACTTTGCTGCTAGCTGTCGCCTAGACTATGCCGCCAGTCTTGTTGCTGAGTCTGAGTCTGTCCGTCCTCCGTCCGTCGGGGGTGAGTGTGCTCTTGCACGGACGTCCTTGAGGACAGGCAGGAGGAGTTCCAGTGTCTGGCTGCTGCTTCATCTCATCTCGTGTCCGTACTGCTTACCCCTGAGGGAGACCCGGATGCACTTGACATCCCGACTCCGCGCTCTTACGCGGAGGCGATAGAGGGTCCCTACTCCTCTCAATGGCAGGCAGCTATGGACGCAGAGATGGCTTCCTGGAAGTCCACAGGTACCTACGTTGACGAGGTTCCCCCACTTGGGGCAAACATCGTCAGTGGCATGTGGATTTTCAGGGTGATGCGGCTCCTGGGTTCTCCGCCTGTCTTCAAGGTGCGTTACGTGGCTCGTGGCTTCTGTCAGCGGCAGGGAGTTGACTACTTTCAGACCTTCTCTCCCACCCCGAAGATGACCACTCTTCGGGTACTGCTGCACGTTGCTGCTCACCGTGACTACGAGCTGCACTCCTTCGACTTTAGCCCAGCTTTCTTGCAGGGCAGCCTGCATGAGGAGATCTGGCTGCGCCGCCCACCTGGCTTCACTGGGTCGTTCCCTCCTGGTACCCAGTGGAGCCTCTGGCGTCCAGTTTACGGTCTCCGCCAGGCACCACGTGAGTGGCACGACACACAGAGGACTACGC